TCTTCGTTGTTAATCTTTTGACAAGTTACAGTAATGCACCAACACGTAGACATTGGATTGGCGTTAAAGAGATTTTTTGCTACCTTAAGGGTACTACGAATTTGGGCTTGTTATATGCCTACGGATCCTTGAGTGATGCCACACCCCCTTATCTCGAGTCGATTCTCACCTTGTTGGTATGTCGATGTAGGATACTTATCTGATATGCACAAGGTGAGCTCTCAAACGGGTTATGTCTTTACCGTGCACAAGGTGAGCTCTCAATCTCTTAGAGGTCAACTAAACAGACCTTAGTTGCCACTTCGTCTAACCATGCTAAAATTCTCGCTTTACACAAAGCAACTTAGGAATTTTTTTTGTTGAAAGCACTTGTGGGCCTTATTTGAAGCTTCTGCGATCCTTACCCCATCATGGATGTCTCGACGATGATCTATGAAGACAACGCACTATGCATTGAATAGCTCAAGAAGAGTTACAACAAAGGAGACAACACTAAGCATATTACGCCGAAGTTCTTCTTCTCACATTAACAACAAGAGCATCAGAAGATTGAAGTCATGCAAATCCGTTCACAAGAAAATCTAGCCGACCTCTTCACCAAATCACTATCGAAGACGACGTTTTAGAAGCTTGTTCATGGAATTGGTATGCATAAATTTTTTGAGTTGTAACATTGCTAGTTCTCTTTAGAATTGTGTCAGACTCAAGGGGAGTATCTTGAAGTATACATGCTTGATCTTAATGTACTTGTTTTCCCTACAATTATGAGCATTTTTCCCACTGGGTTTTTGCTTAACTAGATTTTAACGAGACACCCACATTGGGTTTATCATATCCTTGATGACGTCCCGTAGACGTTTCATTTGACTTTGCATTTCTCACGCATTTTTCCTTAGACTATGGGTTTTGTCCCCACTTGGGTTTTTACTATAGCCATAGGGGTTTTTAGTGAGACTTACTTCCTTATGCAAGTTCCTACCTTATTAAGATTAGCGTGTTCCCATAATCAGTGCCAATGAGTCGACTTTCTCAACTTCTACATGATGTTGAATCTACCTTAAGTATTTACACACTCAAAGGGGAGTGTTGTAAACTTTCTAGTTTAAGTGTAATTGTGTAAATCCTAGATTAGTTTTTATTCTAGTTATTCTTTCCTATATGAACTTGTATTCCTTGGGGATGAAGGATTTCTTCTCCCTTTTATTACTATTGATGCACAAAATCAGTGAAGACTTTGGAACAACAAAAAGTGTCAAGTTTGTGACATTCGCTAGATTGTTCCGGTCACTAGTGTGGATAAGTATGTAAATGGATAGAGACAGGGAAGCAAACACAAGATGTACGTAGTTCACCCAGATTGGCTACGTCCACGGAGTAGAGGAGTTCTCATTAATTATGAAGGGTTTATACAAGTACATAGGTTCAAGCTCTCCTTTAGTGAGTACTAGTGAATGATTTAGTACAAATGACATTAGGAAATATTGTGGGAGAATGATCTCCTTTTATAGATGAGAGTTTCTAGCTTTGTTCTAACATTGACACGTGTCGTGTTGTGATTGGCTTCTGATGTTGACACGTGTCGCGCTTGATTGGCTTATGATGTCGACACGTGTTGCGTTGTGATTGGCCTCCTGGTTGGAGGGAAAATCTTCTGGGTTCTTGACGGTATAACGTTGACTGGTACTCTGTAGTTTCGGGATTGGTCAAGTATGGTACAAACAATTACTATAAATAAATGCACTATGTAAGAGGAATAACACACACATTCCTCCACACAACCCTACATACATTTCTCTCTATATATATTCTCTCTCTGTGTCACCAGCCCCCTTCCCTTATTAGTTAAATATAGGCCATAACATATATGAATATATATGACCTGGTGCTGCTACGATCCGCAGCATGTGTGTGGCAACATATGTATAGAAAGGTTGGATTTAATTCAACCTTGTACCTTTTGGTTGAACTGCAACTTTTGGTTAAAAGACATGATGCTTACTTAAATTGTATAAGTAGAGTTTAAAGATGTAATTAGTCAATATTTATTTTCTGAAAATTCCAAATAGAATACATGTCTTTTGAGTTAACACTATTAAGAAGGGTTGTATATCTTCAACTAAAATTAAATGACTCGATGAACGTGTGCTTTAATGTCTATAAATACCTATTGTGGCATAATGTTTCACACACAATTTCAGAAATTTGTTTCTACATTCCTTGCTCTCTTCTCTCTCCATCACATTCATACAATTTCTTTCTAGTTATTTCTAAGGGATATAATTCGGTTTTGCTAATCAAATATTCTATACTTTGTTGTATCCTGGAAGTGATTTGCCAAGAACCCTTTAGCAAACTCATTCAAGTGGGGGCAAATAACACTCTAAAGAAACGATTCAAGTCATACCTCAAAGTCATCCTTCGGAGTATTCTCTATATTTCTACATTTACTCTAACACCAAGAACCTATGTCTTCGATTCGAGAGGACGTGGGAGGTGAGCAAGAGTGAGAACGGGAAGAAAAAGATTTTCAAGAGAGGTGGGAGGGGAGCAAGAGTGTGAACATGAAGATGAAGATTTCATTGTTTGAGAGTGGTTATGGATAGGGATGGCAACGAGGTGGATTGGGTTTAGATGTGTCATCCCCATTCCCAAACCCATTTATTTTCCCCGAACCCCAACTCGTAGAAATCCCGAACGAGTTTTCCTCATAACCAAACCCGTTGGGTGACGGATTTATGATTGGGGAATGGTTTTCCCCATTATGATATTTATATATTTATTTATATTATTAACTTGTACAAGTTTTAAAAAACTAGCATTAGTCATCAATGTTGGGCGCATTGCACCCTCTGAGCACCACCAGGCAAGTCATCGTCCTCATCATGGGCCTCATGCTGAGCCTGTTGCTGCTTCCTCCTCATATCCTCCTCCATGTTCACATCATGCAGAGTCGTCTCCTCACACTTGTCCACCTCCATATCTGTGCAGCTTCAATGCATGATTATTAACAACCTCTTTTCATATAATAAATATTTATAGTTTTTTATTAATAGATGAAATGGTTCAGTTTTGTGTATAGGTTTAGGGCGGATACCCCAATAACCATAACCGAACCTGAAACCGAAAAATTTACCCGACGGTTACCCATAACCGTAATATACTCGAAATTTTATGCTCGAAACCGAACCATTCAGATCGATTACTTGCGGGGATCGGATTTGACGGGTTAAATTGCCATCCTTAGTTATGGAGTTCTTTGCTTGAGGGATGAGGAAATGGAGTGTATTGTGTTGTCTTTTATAGACACAAAATCAAAGGACAACCACATATTTTGTACCTATCCTAAGACTCAAAAATGCCGTTCAAAATTTGGCCCACTTTTGGATTTCCCGGCTAGGCAAAATTTTGAAAGTTTACTATTTCAAATTGTCATATGCACATGATATTTACAATTGCTCCAGAAATTCCAAATTAATTATCATAGTACAAGGCTTTTAAATTGGAGTGAGTAAACTTTTGATATTTTGTTATGTTCTTTTAGCATAACTGAAAGCATACAATGGATTTTACACTAAATGGTGAACAAGAGTGAAATTGAAGTATAACTCGTTTGGAAATGCTTTTAAAATGACTTAAATCGCTTTTAGAGAAAATGATTGGGTTCCAAGAGTACTTGAAGTGCTTTCCTACAAAAACAAGTTATGTACTTCTTGTAGGCATGACTTTAAGTGTTTTTTTAAGGATTCACTTGCATTTTAATTATGGATTAGTTTCAAAAATATTTTCAGCAAAAGCACTTACATCTGTTTTAAAAGTACTTCCAATTGAGCCTGTAGTCATTAATCCCATGACATTACTTCAAGCCCCATGGCTCTGAAAAATTAAGAAGAAAGAGAAGATTAATTTTTTCTTATCTTGGAGAAGTAAAGCAACGAAACACAATTATTTGCACGGGCAAGCAAAGAAGATTGCTAGGGGAGAGGGAACAAATATCCTTTGGCTTTCTTTCTTTCTTTCTTGTAGGAATTTTAATTTACCTCCAAGTTTATTTAATACCCTGCTTAAGGTAGGCTTAAATAAATTTTGGTGGTGATTAAAATCCATTTCCTAGAAGAATTTAAATTCCAAGTCAAAGTGAGAATCTACCTTAAATTGTGTAGCTTTGGATTTCTACACCTCCAACCCTTTCCTGCGAGCAGCCCAGTAGATGTGGGGGCATTTGTGGGGCTAAAAATAATCCCAAAAATCATGGAGCTGACACATAGATTATTTCTCAAGAAGGACAAGAATGCCCATATTAAATGAGCAGGTAGAAAAAGTCAAAGGTATTTATAATAGAATAATTTCTTATTCTTGTCATTAATACATTCCTCCAACATATTTATTTACACAAATATCTTGGAATATTCCAACGTAAACACAACCCAGGGCCGGCCATCCCTAAACCCTAGAAAGCCGTCCCACTTTCTCCTTTTCTTCTATAAATATCCACTTTATCTCTAAAATTCAGGAGATTTTTTTGCTAACCCCTAACACATTCTTTTTAGAATTCTAACTTTGGCATCAAAGATTCTTTGGCCAATGCCCCCCCCCCCCCCCAAATTCATCATGGGCGCGTGAGGTTTTTGACCTTAATCTTAGGTGTTACTATTTTGCAGATACATTTTCGTTAAAGGAAGAAAAGGCAGAAATTTGCATCCACACCAAGAATCGATCGTTGCACCAATAGTTCAATGGGGGATGATAGCTAAATACGCCTCTTTGAAAAGGACAATAGTAAGGTGTCATCAAATCCCAGAGGAGAAGAAAATGAATTGAATCTAGCATTGCCCCCTTCTTAAGTTTGTAGACAACACTTTCAAATCATCCTACCTCCTGATATCACTTGTATTAAAAAAATAATGTATTAAGTGGTAAATACACACAACTAACGTCTAATGAAACGAAAAATTTAGTTGTTAAAAATTTTGATTACTAAGATGTTACGTTGAGCCATGATTAACTTGTATGCGATATACAATACATAAAACTTGAATTCCCACAACTGTAATCCCAAAAGGAATCACAACAGAATAGTGAATATTTACTATGAAACACATGAAAAGTAACACTGTAACAGAAGCCATATGCATACGAAAATCTACAAAAACAAATGGGATATTACAATTTAAAGAAATAAAATCCAAACAAGTCAAATATTAACTCATAAATAAACAAGTGTTCCACTTTCTTAGCTATCTTTCTGATCTTTGCTTCTCTTTTTCTTCAAGGCTTGAACTTTTGAAGGCTTAATTTATTTTGATCTTAATTTCCTTCATGCTTTCACTTCACCACACAACAATATTCATGCTCCTACTTATAACTGGAAATGGTATATGGTACTTTAATAACCTAAGGATATTGAGGAACCAAAGGTGGCATGGGTGGGAACTTGCCATCCTTTGGGTGGGGGAAGTAATATTTTGGGTGGAGTGGTGGGATTGGTGGCTTCTTAAAGAATGGGTGAGGAATCTTTGGCAATGGAGGGAGAGGCTTAAAGAATGGATGAGGAATCTTTGGCAGTGGAGGGTGAGGCTTAAAGAATGGATGTGGCTTTGGCTTTGGCTTAAAGAATGGATGTGGCTTTGGCTTTGGCTTAAAGAATGGGACTGGTGGTGGAAATGGCTTTGTGTATATGGGAATTGGTGGGGGAAGAGGCTTTTTGTATACTGGGACTAGTGGGGGAAGTGGCTTTTTGTATATTGGGACTGGTGGTGGAAGTGGCTTCTTGTATACTGGGACTGGTGGTGGAAGAGGCTTCTTGTATACTGGGATTGGTGGTGGAAGAGGCTTCTTGTATATTGGGACTGGTGGTGGAAGAGGCTTCTTGTATACTGGGATTGGTGGTGGAAGAGGCTTCTTGTACACTGGGATGTGGGGAGGGAGAGGTTTCTTGTAGATTGGCACTGGTGGAGGAAGAGGCTTCTTGAAGATTGGTACTTTTGGAGGGAAGACCTTAGGTGGGAATGGAGGAAAAACCTTAGGAGGGAATGGGAATGGGTGTCCCAAAATTGGGTGAGATTTAGGGAAAGTTGGCAACTTAGGCAAATGTGGCAATTTGGAAAAAAGTGGGTGCTTCTTGTGAGGCCAAAAGAAGGCGGAAGTGCACGTCACAGGTGAAAATTTGAGCTTTCCACCAACCACTCCAAAGGTTTGTGTCCCATCACTTGCCTTAGACTTGAAGACTATTTTTGTGGATTTTAGGCCGTCATGGGCAGCACAAGGGACAGCTGATGCACTGTGGAGTTGGGCATAACAGTCCTCTTTTAGTTGGTTTTCTTCTTTTAGAATCTCTTTAGGGAGTGAGACTTTGAACTCTCCATGTTCATTGAGCTCCCCAACTCTTCTTGTCTTGAAGTGTCCATTTTCTGGCTTGCAATCAATTGTTACACGAAGACCTACAAAATTGTAGCCAGGTTTGATAACAGTTTACGTCGAGAATAAAAACCTAATTGGTGTATTTGTTTGTGAGAGGGAGAGGGGAAGAATTAAGTGTTATACTAGAGAAGTTATCAGGGCCGGTTTAGAGATTTTTGAGGCCCGGGGCGATGCTAAAAAATGTGCCCTTATTTTATATAAGAATTTTTTTTTTTCACACATAAGACATTGATAAAATTATACTTACTCTTTGTTGAAGATTAGACTTGAATTGGAATACATGTTTAAAAATAACAACCCACATAACTACTAGCCACTAATTAAAAATAAATTAACAACCAAACAAAAATTCGTAAAAATTGAAAAGAATAAACCTCTCGTTAATTTTAAACAACAAAAATCATTGATTCTAATTAAACTTCTTGATCATTTAGTCAAATTTTATATATTTATACTCTTATGAAAAGAAATTTGTAAAAATTGAAAAGTAGATAAGCACACATGATGTTTTGAACCCAATACCTCCTCATTAATTTCAAACAACAAAACCACAAGTTCTTGTTAAAATTCTTTGTCATTGATCCAAATTTAATAAATTTATACTCTTATAAAAACATATAAAAATATAATGTCCTAATAATTTTGGTATCCCCAATTATTTTGGGTCCCAGACGGTCACCCTGCCCGCATTGGGCCTGGGCCGGCCGGTCCTGGAAGCTATATAATTCCGTAGGCGAAAGAGGAAATAAAACTTCACTGAAACTGTTTTCCAAATATAGTCAGTTTTCTGTCCACTTTTGAGTTCATGCAATATTGCAACACAGTAATATGCATGGCAATGCATAAATACCTAAAATATGAGCAGCTTAGACAGAAAAATGCAACCAGCAATTATGTTACCTGAAAAGGCACGGCTAGTCTTAATGCTATTCTGATCACAGTCAGTACATTCTCCAACACCAAGTACCTCAACTGTCTGTTCAGCGTAGCAAAAGCTCACAAAAAGCACACAAAGCCAGAAGCACTTCTGGAAGATCTTCATTGGGAACCGCACCCCAACGAAGACAAAAAAGCTTAATCTATGGTGGTTATATGCACTAGTATTACACAGCTTAAGTTTAAGCTTCTTGTATTACACAGCTTACAAGGCATACATTATATAGTGCTTATAAGCACTTCGATCTAAAAGCACACCGCACTGAAATTTAAGGGCTTCACATGAGGTTAGGGACCCTTCCCTTTAGGGTTAGACCTTGCGTTTAGGGGACAAGAAAAGGACCGTACGTAACGCGCGCACTGACTTCATCCTCCATATCACAATATCGTCCCTTCAATGAGCTCCCAACTGCACAGCTTAATGCGTGTTGGTGTACTTATCTGTCTAAACCTACTTACTCGGCTCCCATTAATACCTTGCTTTTTACACAAAAACCATGCTTAATTTACCAAACTAATCTCTGTTATACAATCACTATATGCCCATACAAATTTAAACTATACGAGAATGAGTTGACAATATTTATCAAGTTTACACTGTTTGACACGTGCATGACTATTTATGCACATATATGGGAATAACCGAACTTGTGGAATGAGAGTGGCAGACATATATAGGTGCAACCTCACCTTGCGGTTGAAAACAACCAAAGAAAGCATGGAGAACTAGAATTGAACTCGAACAAGAATGAGAGGGGCAAACATATAGGTGCAACCTCATCTTGTACTGAAAACAACCAAAGAAGCATGGGAAATGAAAATTGAACTCGATACCATTTGAAAACAAAGCTTTGATAATTCAAAAAGTCGGGTCATCAAGACACTACTAATCACATTGATAATATCTCAACTTAATTATGTACACAACCTTGCATGTGTTTTGTTTTATCACAAAGTTGTTGGATATTTATCGATAAATAATGCCAAATATATATACATAAACTATATGCTTATAAACAATAAATTGCAACTAAGTATATTTACATAATATGAACGAAATTAATATTAAACAAATACTATAATGATCGAGGCTTACGTACCATAATGTCCTTGATAAAACAGAATTTTGTCCCTACTTTGTGCTTATAGTTTAATAAACGTCTGCTTCACCAAGATTCAACGATCTAAGTCAAGATTCCAACATTGAAAAACTTGACTTCTGACGAATATCTTTGTGGTTCTCTTAGTCAAGATTCCAACATTAAATCCAAAATTAAAAAAATAATTGATTCTTGGATTTAATATTAGAGTTTGAGCTAAATAGCCCCAAGGTCCATTTTTTGATAATCAAATATATATTAATAATTAATCACAACCCAAAGCCCAAACTCAAGGTTTAAGCTAAATTTTGCTCTTCATGGTCTTTCTAATCACTTGGTAGAGAGACAAAGTGCTAAGTGTAGGAAACATTTTGGTGGTGACCAATGTGGGACAATGAGATATAATGAGATTTTAACTCGAAACTCCAACAAAAAACCTCGTGCAATTAAGAGTAAAATCATTCATTATAAATTGTAATTTATTCTATTAAATTTCCGATACGGATACTAGGATAGATTGTATTCTTCTACATGGCACACCCTTTCCTCATGAGCCGATTTTGCAAGTTACGCGTACGCTTAACAATTTGGCGATGGTAACATATGATCATATGAGCCCACATTTAATTTCTCTTATTGACTTGGTGGTTTAATTTGTCACAGTTGGGAGATTAAAAGAAGAAACAAATGGTAGCATTTGCATAATATATGTGAGGCACATAGCTAATTCACGTGGTCATCATATCAACTAAAATATCAACCAATTGTCATAACAACCAAGGTCTCATCAAAAGTACAGGCTGTGTATTGAATGTGGACGCACACTCATCATATGCCTGTTTAATTACAATAGGAGGCTAGTAGTAGTGGAGTTCGAAATGCCTCCTCTCTTTTCCTTTTCAAATTTGAAATTGATTTAGAGAAAATTGGACTTGGTTTCTTTACTTGGAGTAATTAAACCTTTGATTCAATTGAAATTTCAGTTTCCCAATGAAATATTCATGAGTATTGGTCTCAAAACCCATCACAAAATGGAGTAGTGCTCCTTTTGGATAACGCCGTTAGAATTTCTAGTCGAAAGAAATGGTTATAAAGGACGAAAGTTAAACAAATTTAAGGACCAATACTTATGAATCTTTAATTTAAACTCCGATCAAAATTTGAAGACAATGTCTAACTCAATTTGTTTATTCATATGAGCATGGTGGAGTGGGTTCTAAAATTGTGGAATCATAGAGCATATGGAAAAAGTTAAGTTGTTCAAATGACAGCAATCAGAGGCATGTTGATAGGTATTTTCAGGGCCGGCAATGAGAATTTGCATTTTTAGGCGAGTCTTTGAAGTGGGGTTTTAGAATTCTCTGACATCAATTTTTTTTACATTGATGTGTATATGTATAAAAAAGAATTCACCAAATGCATGAAATATGCTATTTCTAAATCAAATATCATTAAAATAAATATCAAAAGAAAAAAGATATACAAACATTATTTATATATTACACGTGTCGTGTTTTTACATCCAAATGTACTAATTAAGCCGGTAAAATCGTAAAAAACAATAAAACTTAATTGATGAATATAAGAAATTCTCTTATGCTTCTGAAATTTAGCATCACAAGTTCACAATTTTCAAATATACCTACATAAAGCCAAATTACAAACACAATAATAATAGGGTAGTGCTATCCACTCACCTATTTTTACTTCTTACACACTCTTCTCAATTTTCGGCCGTTGGATCAAATGAATTGAAGAAATCAACAACTTAACAAAGGTGTGTGGGAGGTAAAAATAGATGTGTGAATAGCACTATTCTAATAATATCAAACCATTGGTACATTACAATACCAAAGAAAAAAATTCCAATAACTCAAAAAGAAAAAACTTAAAAAAAGATGAATTCTCTCTTCGATTGCCTTATTAGTTTGCAGTCAAGAGTCCAAGATTGAGATTTTGAGAAATTTCTCTATTTGATAAGGGAACCGATTGGAATAAACAAGGGTGTTTAGAATTTGGTGTTGGTTTGGAAAATGCGACAGAGGCCAAAGGGTTTAACCGTTTAGCGTTTATTGTCTAGGGAGTGCGACAAAAGAAGTAAACAAGTTTGTTTTTCACATCAATCAGAACATGTTTGAGTTGCTTGACGTTTCCCCTTTAACATACAAATTAAGTTTGCTATTTTATTTATTCAATTAATTATATAAATAACTAAATTTTATAAATGTTGGGCCGCTCATGCTAATGGGCTAATTAATAAAACAATAAAAAAAGGGTGAAAAAACAAATTTGTCTTCTATCACACAAAAAAAATGATGGGCAATAATGTAATTTCATAGGTCTAAATTTTACTGTTTTTATTGAAGCCTCACCTATAGGTGATGTTAAAATAAAATATTAAAAAAAAACCAAAAAAAATGTGTTTATACACACAAAGTGTGTAGGCAAATGCTAGTATATATAATAAAAACAAATTGAGGGTCCCTGCAGAGTGGAGGTTGGATGAGGATTCTCTCCCTTTTCCTTCCCTCCTACTTGAACGACTATGAATAAGTCACGTCAACATCTTATATTGATTTTTTTTATAGGAATAAAATGATAAAAAGAAAAGTATGAAAGGAGGAGAGGAAAGAAGATGGAAATATGAGATAAGAGAATCCTACTCGTTGGAGAATGCCAACTGCCCACAGGGCCAACTCTGGGTATTTTTGTACACATACTCAAGCCCCTACAAAGAAACTTGCCAATATGGTATAAAAGAATTTCTCTATGATATTAAATAGACTACTCACTCTATTATATGAGGTTAGATATCATTCCACTTGTGGGCTCTAAGTCCTGTATCAAGTTGTAGGTACAAGGGGTAGTTATAGTGATAAAATTATTGGTATGACCGTATAAGTAACTAAGAGAGAAAAACTCTTGAAACTCCATATGGTAAATTGTTGTGACAATATTTTATTTATTATTTATTTCTTTAGCGCTCCTGAATTTAAGGTCAAATTATATGTGGAATCATCTACATAGGATTTATCGGTAAACTATGCATATCAAGTAAGAACATGTTTACGTGCAGGGAATAAGAACATGAATCAATTCAATTTCATGTATTAACAAAAATGTAACCATGAGAATTATTTTCCTTCTTAACCTTTTTACAACACATAGAATCTGTTTGGACGCGATTTTGCACCTACTCTGCCCATATACTTTAAGTTGTTGGACGAGAGAAATTTTAAGGATCGGGATTGGTTTCCGTATAAAGGTTGAATCAATCGTATAATCAATCTAGGTTTCGATCCTAGTCGAAGACTACGAGACTTGGAAATGATAGAGTTTTCGCCAAGAATTCCGAGTATATTCAAAGAATATGCCGCGAAATTGGAATATTATCATAATTTTACAACTCAGCAGACTTGCCCATCACGAAATTCACCCTTGTAAATATAAAGTTTTGCAACGTACAGAGCCCTCTTCAACTCAGCACACAAACACAAACGCTCTACGCGAAACCTTTTCACACCCCTGAGAAAAATTCTAATTATCCTAACACCTCGACAGCACACCCTCAGTTTGGATTAACAACATTGTATTGGCGACCAGCAACACATTTAGTTTGGATTAACACCACTAGAGCCATAAAATCAATCGATCGAGAAGTATCTTCAATTTTGATTAACAACACTACTTTAAGTTTGATTATCTATCCAAGTCTCAGTCGACGAGGAGTCTTCAATTATTTCGCCAAATGAGGTCACTTCATTCGCTTCTCAGTGAAGTGAGGTGTCTATAATCATTACTCCCATGTGCAATTCAAAGTTCACCATTCCGACAGTCAAATGACATTCACAATAAAAGACACTCATTTCCTTTGAGTATCTTTACTCTTGCATCCTGATTCCAATTCGGCGCACCTATATTTTTACAAATAGAGTCGAAGATCTTGAACTTAATAGTGAATTGAATACCTTCTCTTTAGATTATAGAACCTAGCTGTTCAATGCAGAAGTCAGCAAGGTGTTCAACACCATACCACCACATCTATTCTACTCGCTCAACCAAGCTCAATCGCGAGTTGCACGCATGCATTCACAAGAAAGATGTAATTAGCTCAGTAGTTGCTCGATATGCATGCCACGTAAGTC